TAATTTTCAATACTTTGTTTACTTTTTGTAAGGAGAAATATTACTATTTTATTACATCAACTACTAGTAATGGTCTCATTCCTTCCTTAAAATATAATATAATTGATTAATATAAGGCACACCAAGCCAATTATTAATTTTAAATTGTTTTTTTACGTACGTACTAAATAGTGAAGGATTTAAATCAAATATTAAAAGATTAAAAATAATAAAATATTAAATCCATAAAATAGATATAGGTTACTAATAAATAAGGCATTTTGTGAAATAAAATACAAATGCATAGAAAGTTTCAAACAACATATTCACAATAAAACTTATTCTTTTTTTTATACTTTATTTTTATATAAAAGCTCTCTAACTTATCTTCATTTATAATTACAGCAATAAATTCTCCTATTATGTCAATTGTATAATGTCTACAGTTACTAAACAAATAAAGGGAATAATATTCAAATATATACTATTACTAAACAAATTAATAAAGTGGCACTTGTAAACATAAGATTCGAACTCGGGACTTGAATACATGGAACTCGTTTTGAATGTTGCAGTTGTAACTAAGATTGCGGGATATGGTATTCACCATGTTAACAAATTGATGCCCCAAATAACTATAGTATACATTGCTTTTATTTGCAGACTATAATATAAGTTCGAATACTATTCAAATAAATATTGTTACTAAAAAAATATAAAATTTACAATCGTTTCGTTAATAATATGCTTGAAATTTATTCCCCAGAATATGTTTTAATTTCAATTTTAATTATCATATAATAATGGACTTTAAACGTTTCATGGATTAAAAAGCTTGATGTTTGACTCTAAACTATAAGTTTAATTTCTTACTAATCTATTATTATGATAAATCAAAAAGCTTCCTGTGTTTCTTCATGAAGAATCAAGTATTTAATAATCTAATTTTGAAGAAATATAAAACTTTCATGTTTTATAATATGGGAAAAATGAAGAGAATCAGAAATTATGATATTCCAATTTCATAATACAACATGATTGAAAAATTATAATCGATTTTAATTTACATTGTTAGGATGACAATATATTTCTATTTGTCTAAAAACAAATTGCTTAATGAAAAACATAACATAAAAAATAAAAATAAAAATAAAATAAAAAACTAAACTTATTAGAAATCAACAACATGAAAGCAAAAATATAAGACAATCTAGAAAAATTAAATTAAATTAACTTTTTTTTTAGTTTCAAACATAAGATTCGTACAAATCTAAACAAAAGAAAATTTCATAAAACAATTTTGTTAGTCAAAACATTGCATATTTAACAAAATTTTTGTAAAAAATAAACAAATTTTTAAGCAAAAAATGGAGAAATTATATAATAAATAATTTATATGTTAAACAAAAACATAAAGAAATTTGTAAAATAGACTCATTTGTTTAAGCATTTGTAAATTCAATTTATTTTGTTGAAGCAAACTTGAAAGTAGATTTCGTTAAGCAATTACATAAAAATTCTATAAAAGAAATAGAAACTAAGTAGAACATGATGAACAGAAGAGAGAACAAAAATGGAAGCAAAAGAAATTATTGAAAAAAATGAGATGAGAGAGAAGGGGGTAATTGAGAATTTGGGACCATCAAATATACCTTGAAAATAGAAATAGAATTTGAAATTCAAACTAAAAAATTTCATTTAAATTTAAAATAATAATTTGAAATTTTTATTTTGTGCCCCAAATTAACCACCTATCATAGGTTGACACATTCCAAATGTACATATGGCCCACATACACCTAGTGTATGTATAACCTTTTATGGTTTATGAGTTTAATGCAGTTCTGCGATGAAAGAGTAATAACTAAGGGCCTGTTCTCTTACGTTGAAATTCAGTTCAGTTCACTTCAGCTCCTAATTTCCTTCTCTTATAAAATATTCATTTCAGTTCAGTTCAGCTCAGTTCAGTTCAGCTCAGTTCAGATCAGTTCAGTTCTGTCAATGAGAACAGGCCCTAAGTATGGATAAGTGTTAAAGCTCAAGGAGAAGGCTCAAGAGACTAAGCAAAACTGGATTAGGATAGTTTATTAGTAGGGATGAATAAGTTCAAATAATAGAGTATGGAGCCTAGGAGTTGTAATCGATGAAAGGTTATATAGGAGATCATGGAGGGAAATGTAATTCATTTGCCTATAAATATAAGAAAAATCCTGAAAGAAAGGCATCATCCAATCAATCAATTCAAATCATTTCATTTCTTGTAAGCGTTCTTTACAGCTTTATTAGTTTTTCCTTAGTTTAGTAGCCAAGCGATATGATAGTTTACTTAGCATGTATTGTAGATCAATCGTTTATTCGATCCAATTGTATGAACATGGAGTTAATCTTTCTTCAACTTGTATAATTGTCAATTAATGGAAAGCGTTTGCATCTCTTGTCACATGTTTGTCTGTTCGTTTTTTTAGCGATCTCACTTTTCTAAAACTTCTTCAACTGCAATTTCCTTACTATTTTGTTGTGTTACGTTAGCGAGGTTATCAATATTAAAATCAGTAACAATAACGACATACATACACCCTTAATACTCTAGAGCAAGATAGATATTTGACTTGTTGATAAAGAACAATATTAATCTCAACACACTGAGTTACTCTAACTGAAATAATATTATGGGTAATTTTTAAGTTTGCTAGCACCATGCATGGATCAATTGTAACACTTGAAAATATAAGGAAGGTAGCATCCCATATGTATATAAAGTACTAATATATAACCTGATTTTTAGGCTTAATTGGTGTACCAAGATGTCAAGATGCAGTCGTTAGAAAGAGTAAAAAGGATGAAGGCAGAATTAAATTTGAGGCTTGCCCAGTTGATCTTTATGATTTATTTGCAATGTCAATCTTTTTTGCCAACTAAGCAAATGTAATACTAGGATGTCGAGTCATGTGCCAGGTTGCGTGAACGGTTGACAGGTAGGAGATTACTCGACCCCGTAATGCAATTATGAATATTGGGTGTTTCTTGATGTTTAAGCTTTATTAAAATACATGAAATTAATGGGTGTTTGGTTGGGTCTTCAATCGGCAACGCTTACCCAAATCAGCAATTGACCATGAGTCCTATGAAGAGGAAAGTACGGAATTGGAATTGGTATTGTGTATGTGAAATTGAAACAAAGCAAAGTAAATTAATGTGTATCACATGGCTTACCTCGAGCTGGATTCGGAGAATATCAGGTCGGAGTATCTTCAATCTTGGTCTCCGATTCCAGGACAAAGAAATGCTTCGAATAACAAAAACAGCAAAGCTAAGCTAAGAAAAAAGGCTTTCCTTAAAAATGGACTGTTAGGGAAGGAAGCCGTAACCCTAAGCCATAAAGTCAGTTGTGGGAACATAACGGAACGATAGTTGGGTGGGTAGATGAATATGTACCGTTTAGCAGGTAATGACTTGGGTGGATAACCTGGAAAACAGGACAGGTCATGAGGTCCATATAGGCATAGAAGTACAAGTAAATTACAGTAGAGTCTTTCAGCACGCAAAATGACGAAAATAGGCTTAGATGTGCGAAAAAAAAGAAATCATGAAGATAAACTTGGAATTGCCGATTAAATTTATAAAATAGAAAGTAGAAGAGAGATAGAGAGCCAAAGAATGAGACAAACGCAAGGAATAAGGAATATAGAGCACAAGCATTTGACAACCTTGAGAGCAAGCCCAAAGTGAGACATGTTGACCGTGTGTAATAAGCATAATTTCAGAAATACTTCACTCTAAGTTAGCAATTTGTACTCAATCAATACAATATTATACATATAAAAACTTTATAGTAATTATTTAGGTGTATAATATAAAGTATTACTCCTAGTATGCTTCCTACAGCCAAGTCCTCGCACAAACAGATAAAAGACTTCCACTTCCCGGAGAATCTAGAGCGCATCAGGCGCTGACCACAACTTTGGAAACTATAATTAAACAACGTATAATACACTTTTAGAATATTAATTAAAGTATCATCATCTCTCTTGCATTAATCAAAATCAAATCACCTTTGCATGATTTTCTCATTATATTAATCCTCCGACAATTAACCTAATAAATCTCCATTTCATATGGAATTATTGGCTTTTGTAATTAGGACAAAAAGGTATTACATTCTTTATTCTTTTTGACAAATTGAAAGCTCAATAATTCAGATGTATTATATATTTCTCTTGATTGATCACTTAAACTTGTCTTAATAGATACACCTCTTTTAGGCCATTATTTTCATACTTAATTTATCAATTCAAACCATAAAAAATCCGATATTTACTGAAAGATATATTTTTATTTATTTACTTTTTTTTTACCTTGTGGAATAAAGAAAAGAAAGTTATTTCAAGACATTAATATCATTATACTATTATGTAATCACAGTTTAATAATATGCTCTACGCTTCCTTCAAAAAAAAAAAAAAATATTATGTAATCACAGTGTGTATGAATATCCACCCTCAATGTGCCCATAGTGGTCATACAACTATAACATGTACATCTTAAAATTTATAAGATGTCAAGCTTAATTTAAGTCAAGTGTAAGAATTGTTATATACCGGGTGTATATAACAATTTTCAAGAGAATCTACTTGATTAATGAAATATATCCTTTTTTTTTCCCTTTTTTTTTAAAAAAAAAAATCTATCATACATAAAAGAAATCTATCATACATAGCAATTAGGAAAGTTTTATATGCAACTCCCAAATAAAAATAAAATAAAAATATACGGTACAAACTTGATTCACAAAGTATTAGAGGCAACTACATACAGAAGATATTGTAGATAATTGATATTATTCGAAGAAAAAGCAAAACAAACCTAGGAATTTGAAACTTGTTATTTGGGGAAATTGTTTTCACTTAATAAAATATTCCTTATTTATGTATTTTTTTTTTTTACATTTATTTTATTTGCGAAAAAGAATTAGAAAACTTTGATGACATGATAGTTAATCATTAACATTATATATATAGGTTTCAAAAAAAAAAATTAACATTATATATAGATATATTTTAACGATTCGTTTCAAAGAGTATTGATGAATAGTAGTAATTATACATAACCATCATAGCTTAAATATACGTAATTGAGAACTTAAATTAGAGATTGTGTTAATTCCAAAGTAATACCGATAAGTAGAAAGGAAAAACATAGAATATTATATCAAACATTTTCCCTACCATATCTATATTACCCCCGTAAGTAAATATGTATTAATACAACTATACAAGTATAATTACACTTTAAAAAAAAAAAAAAAAAAAAACCTGACTTAATACATACGAAGTATATGATATATCTACTTGTATTCAATACACTCGTTGCAGCCACGAGAATAACCTAGTAACAAGTACACAATAAGAACATGTAAATGGTCCAAGTTGAGCACAACACCACAATTAAATTAGTGAAAGAGAACATGAGTTACATGACTAGGAGTGGGAGCTACGAAAGGGATAACTAAGATGAATTGATGATGATGAGAACATTAACATACAAGTATTCATAATAAATAAAAGTAATACTCAAAAATCGGAAATTCCTTGAAAAATATTCCATTGAACAGTACCCCATTTGTTTTCTCGTATTCCAACCCATTCCCTCTGCAGAAATTTCCAAAAACTAAATATAACAAAATACCCACCAACACCTATTCATTTATACCTCCTCTTTTTCTTTCTCTGTTAGTTACTCTTTTAATTTGTTCACCTCAACTTTTCTGAATCCTTAAATACACCTTTCTCTCTATTCAAACCTTTCATCATCCTCTGCAATTCGTTTCCTCTGTTAAAATATTTATTACTCCGTATACTTACATTTATAAATATTATTAATATCACAAAAAAATTTAAAGAAAGCTAAAAACTCCTTTCTTTTTCTTGGAGTTTTTAAAAACCCATGCAAATCATAAGGCACTCATGATCTAATTATCATCTATCCTAAGTTATTATACCAACTAACCACTCCTTTTTAGCGTTGTGTCAATTTTTTTTTTGGTTCTTTCATTGATTTTTAAGATCTGTGTTGATATGAACATGGATCTCTCACTTCAAATCAGCCCGCCTTCAATTTCTCTAACAGCCGACGATGACTCGGCTGTTATGAAGGCGGTCACCTTTTACAGTGACCGGAGCGCCACGACTACGGAGTCGGGGAGTAGTAGTGCAGGTAGTGAGATGAACTGTCGTGAGATAACCGATGACAATAATAATATCAGTAGTAGTAGTGTTGGGTTGGGTTTAGGTAATGATCAGCCTATTTTGAGCTTAGGGTTTGATCATATGAGTCATTTTAATGGTTTGAGTATGTCATCATTTAGAGGGTATAGTGGTAATAATAATAATAATAATAGTAGTAGTAATTCTTATAATCATCATCATCTTCACCACCAACTTAATCATCATCAGCCTCAAATCTATGGCCGGGAATTCAAAAGAAACTCGAGGATAGCGACGTCGATTTGTGGTGTTAAGAGGAGTGTTAGAGCTCCTAGGATGAGATGGACTACTACTCTTCATGCTCATTTTGTTCATGCTGTTCAATTACTTGGTGGCCATGAAAGTAAGCTTGCCTTTCTTTCTCGATCATAACACAATTATTTTATTTTATTTTTTTTAAAAAAAAACTTTAATAATGTATCAGTTAATTAAGAAAAATCAAGTAAAAACCATTTTAGTTTTAGATACAAAGCTAAAATGGTTTTTCAACAGATACAAAGCTAGTCAAAAATGATTTAGCTTTGTATCTGTTTATGGATAAAATCCTATATGTATATATATATTTTTTTTTTCTTTTATTTAATTTGATTGTTATCAGGAGCTACGCCAAAATCGGTGCTCGAACTGATGAATGTGAAGGATTTAACCCTAGCCCATGTCAAGAGTCATTTACAGGTGAGATATTAGAAAAGTTAAGTATGATTGTACTTTGTAAATGATTTCATGAAATTAAGATTATTTATTACATTTTTTAGTGGGAGGGTGAAAACAAGGAAGTGGAAAACAAGAAGCATCAAGTATAGAAAGAATAATACTAATAATCTTAATAATGTGGACCCTTTTTATTCTTATTTTCTTGGGTTTTAAATTTCTAGAAATAATTTGTTCTATTTGTTGGTGTATTTACATGTAGATGTATAGAACAGTGAAGAGCACTGACAAAGCCACATTATCATCATCAGGTGATTTGGAATTTCTTTTTAGTACTCATTCTCTTGTATTATTATTCTATTTTTCCTACTTATATCTCTTTGGAAAAATAGACTGTTAGTTCTATATATCATTCAGTATGTCCTAGTCCAAAAGAACATAATTAAGAACATAATTATTATTTTTATATTTTTTTGGTTTTGTTTTCTGACAAATTAATTATAGCTAAGAAAAAAAAAATGGGGTTGAATTTGCAGGTCTAACATTACATGAGGGAGACATAATGGGCTCAAACCAAAGGTCAGGGATGATTGATGATCAAGAAGGAATAATAGAGAGAGGATTTTCTCGTGAAAAAGCTGATTCCAATCCTTCTTATTCTCTCAACCCATCATCTCCTCCCCCTACAACAAATTTGTAAGCTCATTTTTTCTTCTAGTTTTTTTTTTTTTTTTTTTTTTTTCCGTCTTTTATCGAGTAGTGATTGATCAATCTATGTATACCACTACGTGGTGACATATATGTGATAAGAAGAATTTTGGATATTGAGGAGCGTACGAGTTTCTTTAAGGGTACTATCGGAATAAACACTACTATAGTCTATACATGTCTAAATTTCTCAATTATAGGAAGTGGACACTTGCTATAGAGTAGAGAATAGAAATTGTACTCCTCACTTACTTTTTTTTAGTCTATTATCTTTGATATGAGGGTTGAATACTTTGATTGATCTTTTGATACTTTTTTAAAAAAAATTTAAAAACAAAATAATTTTCCTCTATTTGGTCAAAAAGAGTAAAACCCAGAAAAAGTGGAAACACAATAAGAATGCAAAACATAATAGACACAATGTACATATATACACAAGAATTGTATTGGTGGTGGTGATTGTTTTTGGGTCCAACATATTATGTCTCTCTTTGTTAATGGTGTAATGAATATAGATATAAAAGAAATAAAAATAAATAAATAGTTACTTTAGAATTTAATTTTTCAATAAAAATCTTTTCTCTTACATTGAATTTGGAGAAGAAAAAGGGATCATATCTATGATTTTTAGGTGTAAAAAGTGTTTGTTCTTTTTTGTTTTATTCTTCCACATAATAATACCAATAATTAAACTATTATAATTATCCTCTTTGTTTATTCCCATCCGTCAGATTTATGAATGTCAAGATCCCTAAGTGCGGAAAAAAAAAGTCAAGTAGTAGTTTAGCTCGAATCTCAATGTAATAACTTTGTAGAAGTTGCAGTAAATTTTTTAAATTTGTAGGCTTTTTACTAGATTATCAATCTTTGAACGAGTGAATAATGAATTAATTTTTTAAAATTGCAGCGTCTAATGTTGTCTTGTATTTAATGTTAATTGTTGACTTGATTTAGCGGGACTGCCGGGTGGTATCCTATGGAGCTAGTCCTCCCTATCTCAATTGTTTTATAAGTGGGAAATTGCTTGCAAATTTAATGTAGGGTAGCACTTTGGATAATTGGATTGTTGCACAAATTTTCTATAGAATATGTATACTCAGTATGTTTCTTTGGTTCAAAATTATACGTTTTCCGTTTACTTTTAGTTGCAATAGTCTGACAAAAAATAAAGGTTTCATGGTTTAGTCGAATTGTTACAACTAGAAGTGAACGAATGAAGTGTATCACGTTTGAACTAGTGAGGTACTAAATGACAACTAGATTAGTGATTTGAGTTCCATTGTATAAACAGAATACTACCCTCATTTCATATTATGTGCAACGATCAGACATTTTTCCTCTTTACTTTGTGTCAAATTGTTGCAATTAATATGTAGCGGAGGTAGTAGCTAAAAAGCAATAGCTACGTGTAAACAATTAAGTCACATTGTATTGATGAGCTTGAGAGTAATGATCCAAATGTTTTAAAATCGATTTTCAATATATATCATATTATATCTACAAACTACTCCAAGGCTAATTTGGATAAGAAACACCCCGTCCAAAAAAAAAAAAGAGGATAAGAAACACGACTTTTTTTGGACGAAAGGAGTACTAAGTTTCGCTTTTGATTGAATAGCTCACAAAAATTTTGTTTATGTCAAGGGTTGTACATATCTAGTGCTCTAAATGTATGTATGTGCTTCTAGTATAGAGTATATATAAGAAAGAGTTATATATTAAAACCATTTAATACATTTATTTGAACTTTGAAGATGAGTTAAAAGGAAATATTTTTAATACATTGTATGCATTTTTACTCCTATGATCAAGCTAAGCTTGACAAAGTCACCTTGTTGAAAAAAATAAAATAAAAAATATTTTATGGAAAATGATGTCCTAAAAAAGTGTGTAATACTAGGATGTGATCTTTGACAAGCCAGTTTCTACTTGACTTGGGTCAAGCCCAAAACCGTCACCTTCAAGAAAGCCATAATATTAATGAGAATTTACTCTAATAGGCCATTTGTTTTTCCTCTATAAATTATGCACAGAGTAAATCAGCACAATTTTTTAGCAATAGTTGAATGAAGTTTACTTATGTATGATGTTGATGACTTGATCATTATACATTCATTCTTTCATTCATTCATTCATTCATTATGCAATGACATTGATACATTTCTATTGATACATATGCAGAGGTTCATGGTTATCATCCTTAGACGCAGACGACAGAACTCCCTTGATGAACAGCCTATATTCTCAAACTCAGGTACAATTTCACATTCACAAGCTAGCAACTTTATATAACTGTGATTCTGTGAATATATAATGTTTTATTATTTACTAATTATGAGTTTTACTATAGGTGGATGGTTGTAATAATGGGGTGAAATTATCAAACATGGAGCAAGAAAGGATTGGATCATCTGCCTGTTTTTCACCAGCTGATCATAGTTTGCTGAATTTAGAGTTCACTTTAGGACGGCCGAGTTCGAACGAGAATAATCTACTTAAGTGTTAAGATCAAATGATGATGGGTTAGCTAGCTAAGCAAGAATTCTCATATTTAGTTGGTAGTTCTTGTTATAAACGGAACTGCGGGAACAAAAACAGTAAGAACAAAGTTACCGAAAATTAGATTGAGTCGCGGACTATGTCGCTTTCTTTAGAACATTCACGGCACTGCCCTGAAAATGTGCAAGCATTTCGTACTAAACCGGATGTTCCCCAGGATAAAACAGCCTTTCTCTATTGTAATTATACCGGTGGAACTGCACAAAACCACCGGGCAACTAAACACCAAAAAGAAAAGAAACTGCTCGAGGGTTTTGTTTTTGTGAGGAAAAATAGAGAGGAGAAGAAGATTGCTTTCTGTATTTTTTTTTTGTGTCTTAAAAACAGGAAATCAACACGCCTTTTATAGGCAAAATTGCAACGTAACTGCTGCTGTTTAATTAGGCACTAATCACGCAATTAAAACGGTCATAAGTTGAACGTTCAAAACGGTTACAGAAGATTAATGCGTGGCAAAACGTTTAGCAAAAAATCAGTGAAAACGTTTGCATGATTAACGCTCCATTAATCAGTTTTGAAAAAACGGTCAAATGTAATCAGTCAAAAACGTTTAGCAAAAATCAAGGAACTAATCACGCAATTAGCCTTGTCCAAAAAATAAGTTTATTTAATCGACCCGACCCAACCCGGCCCGGCTCGGCGCGCGTGTGATAGATGGTTTACCATATAGGTCCTCCCTCTCCACAAAATGTGGGTAGCCCAAGGGCCACACCCCTTAAACCCACTCTCTATATTATAAAGAGAGTAAAACTCTCATTTCCCACCAATGTGGGACTTTGAGTTTTTTCACAAAATTCACACACTACACACTTGTTGTTCCAACAGTTCTTATGTTAGTTGAGGCGATTGGTTCTTGTTCTTCGAACATTTTTCACTAACTTGCTGCTTACTGCTCCCGTAAAGTTTATCAGAATTTGATGATTTTAACACATAGTTTAGGTCTTTCCCAAGCTTAGTTAGTATAAAGCGTGGACCACATGATGTTTGTTCCTTTTTAGGCCTTTTCCTAAATACAAGTAATATATTGACCTAGTGATCAAGCAAGAAGTTGAAGCCAAACAAACCTATACCATTTCAAGGCATCTAACTACGAGTATCAACTATGTTATATTTATAATTGCATCATACTCACCTTGTTACCACTTACTTACCCTATGTTCATTTATAACTTTAAGCAAATGCAAATTGGAATGGAAAAAAAAGTGAGTGGGTGAGTTTTAATTTACTGGATTCGCTAAACTTATTATTATTGCAAGTCTAGCATAACCTTTCAACTCTCTGACAATGTTCATAAATTTATTCAATCAAACAATGAATAATATACTCCCTCTGTTTTATAATGTTAGTCTCATACATATGGAATCAATCACATAAATATAAGAAAATATATATATATATATATATATATATATATATATATATATATATTTAGAATATAACATTTAAGTACAACATAATTCATAATTAGTTTATCTTATTTAGCTTTTTTGATTTTTTTTTATTAAGAAAGCACAAGTCATAATTGCATAATTTAAGGTAAAGATTTCCTTACTTGGAGTCATGTCATCAATTCACAACCAATTAATTCCAAAAAATCAAGTTATAAATGAAATATATTCAATATGGGTAGATTTTTTTGAAACGCCCAAAATAGTATGTGAGAATAACATTATGAAATGGTGGGAGTAACAAAGAATAAGGAAATAGCATAAAACAATTCAAATTTAATTAACTCAACAAGATATTAGTTCCATATTTTAACATTCATAGATCCTCCTAACCTTAGTATAAAACAACTCACACATATTTAAATCAATTTACCTTAACAACATCATTGAAAACATAATCAAAATACTACATCCATTAAATATTATGTGCAATTTTGAAGGGAGTAACAGACTCCTAGGAAAAATTTATTTTAGAGTGTAAAATAGAGAGAGAAAAAGTTGGATGTATGCATAGGCGGAGCCCGAGGAGGCTGGTGGAGGCCAGGCCCCCTTGGCCCAACAACAAATCTCTTAATTGTTAGAAGAGAAAATACTTGTTAATAAGCCTTATAGACGAGACATGTTAATAAGGAGGCAGCGACGTCATTTTGGTTAGTAAAGTAAGGGTCGTTTGGTAATTTACTTTACCACGATCGTTAAACTGTTAACGATCGTTAACCCCCCATTCTCAACTCCGTTCCTCATATCCCGTACTGTAGACCGTAGTTTTTAAGCCCCATTTCCCCTTTTTGGCCAATCATGTTCTCCGTTCTATTGAGTGCTCTGAAAACATTAAAATTCTCCCAATAAAGAAATTATTAGTTAAGGCCAGACTAGACCTCCAATTCTTCAAGGAATCCTCCAATACGCAGTTGTGATATGGTGGATAAGGATTTTAATTGGGTTAATTAGGAATTAGTTCAATTATGTTATTTAGCTTTGTTAGTGCAGTCCAGCTGGCAAGTTTGTTAGATTCCATTTTTGTGTATTTTGGTGTTAGTGGAGAATGACGTAAGATTCCACTATAATAACTACCTGTAACAAACTTTCACATTCATTCAATGAAAGTATTTTACCAACCACTTCTCTCTCTACAATTCTTTCTTCTCTGTTTTTTCTCTCTTTCTCTCTACGTTTTCTGGAATTATCCGCCATTGGAGGAGCTTCGAGCTCTCCCCTATCATTGGTATCAAGCCAATCTTGCTGATTTCTTCAATAAGAGATTCTGGCGCCTCCGCCTGTAACTAGAAGAGTGGCAGCCATGGAAGCTCAAATCAAAACCTTGGAGCAGTGTTTGGAAGATCATAATTCCAAAATCGAGCACAAATTTGAGGAGATGATGAAGTTGATGCAAGCGATTCAGGCTGAGAAGGTTTCGACTCCAATTTCTGAGCCTTCTACTCCTTCGTCTTCTTCGAACGACAGTTTTACTAGGTCCAATCCTACCAGGACCTTAGGTATGAACCCTAAATTAGAGTTTCCTAAATTTAATGGCAATAATCTTCATATTTGGGTGAAGAAATGTTGCAAATACTTCAGTTTATGCAAAATTGCTGATGAACATAAGGTTGATTTAGCTTCTTTGAATATGATTGATAAGGCTGAGAGTTGAATGATGAATTATCTGTCTGTGAGGCGTTCTGTTATAGTCGATTGGAATGATTTCGTTGTTGATCTATATGCTCGATTTAGGGATAATTCTACTTTGGATGCTGTAGAACAGTTTAATAAGTTGCAGCAAATTGGTTCAATTGAGGAATATATTGATGAATTTTAGAACCTTAGGTCTATTTTGATGATGAATAATCATATCCTTCCTGATTCATATCTCTTAGACAGTTTTTGTTGGAGGACTTAAGCCTACTGTTAAACCTTTTGTCCGTGCCTTTAAACCATCCACTATAGCATCTGCTATTGATTTTGCTAGGCTGCAGGAAGAGAATCTGACTACCTCAGCTCAGGTTTTCAAGCAGAATAAGTATTCTTCTGCTACTGGTAAGACTGGGTAGTCTTTCACACCTTTAGCCAATACTAATACTTCTACCTTTTCTAAATCTAAACCAACCACAAACACTAGACCTTTTAAACACATTCCTGCTGATGTTAGACAAGAGAAAATAGCGAAGGGATTGTGTTATATTGTGATCAGCCATATAGCAGGGAGCATAAATGTGCTTTCAAAGAGCCACAACTGTTTACAGTTGAGATTCTTGGTTGTGGTTTTTCTCATGAGGAGTAGGAGTGTGAGGTATTGGAGTCTGATGGTGAATTTGATCCTCAAATTTCTGTTCATGCTCTTGCTGGTTCTAATTCTTTTCAAACTATGAGGGTCAAGGGAGTGGTAAATGGTAAGGATTTTCATATCCTTATTGATTCAGGAAGTACACACAATTTTGTAGATATGAGTATTGCTGCTAAATTGGTTTGTCATTTGGAACAAATTCCATTTCAGTCTGTTGTTGTAGCTGATGGTAATCATATTCCTTGTACTCAAATGTGTAAGAGTTTTTCATGGATGATGCAAGGTCATAAGTTTGATGCTGAGGTGCTTCTAATTCCTCTAGGGAGTTGTGATATGGTCTTAGGGATCCAATGGCTTAGGTTGTTGGGACCTATACATTGGGATTTTCAGAAGTTGAAGATGGAATTTGACTTTAAGGAGCAACACATTGAACTTAAAAGGTTTGCCTTCAAGGAAACTTTCTGTGGTAGAGGGCAACCCAGGGACTAAGCTTCGGAATTCTGGGGTTCAATTGTGTTTAATGCAGGTCACTGAACCTTATTCTGTTTCAAGGGAAGGAATTCAAGTATGTTCTACTTTGGTAGATTGTGCTGAGTTTAATGAGTTAATGCAAAGGTACAATAAAGTTTTTGCTAAACCTTCTGAGTTTCCTCCTTCAAGGGGAGTGTTTGATCACTCAATTCCTATCATGCTTGGCAGCATTCTAGTCAATATCAGACCTTATAGATATTCTTTGAAACAAAGGGATATAATTGAGCAGTTGGTGCAGGAGATGTTGGATAGGGGCATCATTCAAGCATGTTCTAGCCCATTTGCTTCTCCAGTTGTCTTGGTTGGCAAGAAAGATGGCACTTGGAGGTTGTGTGTAGATTATAGGGAGATGAATAATAGAACAGTGAAAAATAAGTTCCCTATCCCTTTTATTGATGAACTGATTGATGAGTTAGCTGGAGCCACTGTTTTAAGTAAGCTGGATTTAAGGGCTAGATATCACCAACTAAGGGTGAGTGAAACTGATGTTTTCAAGACAGCATTTAAGACACAAACAGGCCATTATGAATTTCTAGTGATGCCTTTTGGTCTAACTAATGCTCCAGCTTCTTTTCAAGGCTGGATGAACTATGTTTTCAAGCCACTTCTCAGAAGATGTGTCCTGGTCTTCTTTGATGATATATTGGTGTAAAACAAGTCAATACAAGATCATTAGAAACATTTGCCAGAGGTTTTTGAGTTAATGAAGGAAAATTCTATGTTATCTAAAGAAAGCAAATGTATTTTTGCTACACCAAGAGTTGAATATCTAGGGAATTTCATTACTGCAGGAGGGATGGAAACTGATGCTAAAAAGGTAGCAGCTGTGAGTAGTTGGCCTGTTCCTTCAAATGCTAAAGAGTTGAGGAGTTTTCTGGGGCTTACAGGTTACTACAGGAAATTTATCAGAGGATATGCAGTTTTGAGCAAACCTTTGACTAATCAACTCAAGAAGCATGGGTTTAACTGGAATGAGCAGGCTCAATTAGCCTTTGAATCTTTAAAGGAAGCCTTAGTTTCTGCTCTAGTTTG